ATGATCCCAGAAGATCATTTAAGATCAGGATGTTAATTGCTAAAGCACATACTGTGTTTTAGAAAGGTAGCACTGGCCCCTTGAAAAGATAACAGGCACAGAACCAAAACAAAACAAACCAAAACAAGACTACTCTTTTTTAAAAACACAGCTGGAACTCACAAATCCATTACACGCCACTTAAATTAGTGCTATTTAAAAAAAATTCTTAATATATAAAAATATCAAGATCAGTAGGTGTAAGCTAGTTAAACAAATCACTAAAGAGTGATTTTTTTCAATTTAGAACCCTCTTCTTAATTTGCAAGAGAAAACATGCTTTATTTTAAATAAATTATAGACTAATAAGAACCTACGTATTGTCATGAAGCAAAATCAAGTACAATTTTTTCTAACACTGTACATATATTGTACTTTTTTTTGTATTTTAGCAATGAATTTCTAAACTGAAACAATTAGATTCTCTTCCTGATAAACTGACAAAAGCCAATATTATTATAAAAGCAATTTGCATTAAAAAAGTGAATATAACATATGTACAGCATTGTGTAAGTAATTCTATAAACTAGATACAATAAACCAAACTGTCCCTGTATATTTCACTACAGATCTATTTTGGCAACGTGGAGGTATATCTTTTATACTGATAAAGTCCTAACATGTAAAGGATGCATCAAATATCCACATTCTTTATTAAAGTAGCAAACTTTAACCCAATAGCAAGTGAATCATACAATGCAATTTACTTTGAGACAAACAAGAAGTACACTAAAGTTAATAGGTTTTGTGCTTTTAATGGCATTTATGATTTTTTTTTAAAAAATTCTGTGGAATGGGTCTGTACATTAACTTTATTGACAGAACATAAATATAAGAAAATGATCTTTAAATAGATCAGTATCTTTTCAACATAAAGTGCTAAGAGATGCATGTAGTAGTTAGGAGAATTTGCTTCTTTTGCTTGAACAATGAAAAATCAACCAAGAATCTGACTGGATTATTTTAAAACAGAACATGGTCTTGAGCTTCAGCACTCGGATTTTTTAGAAGATTCAGGCTGCTCCTCTAAACTCATCTGCAATTCATTTTGACATTCCGGTGTCTCACCTTTGACAGCTAAATGGATGACTTTCAACCATTTCTGTTTCAGTTCCTCACTGTCTGCTGCAAAGCTGTGTACAGATTTGGACTGGGTCAGTTTAAAGCTATGCGGGAGGTCAGCACTTCTTGGAGTGTCATCTACTGCATAGCCCAGTAGTGGAATTGTAGCCAAAGCTTTAACATCCTAGGAAAAAGAAATAAATCCTGATAAAAACCTGCTTTGGTTCACAATACAGGCTGAAAACAACTCCTTGACTATTCCCAGACCTGAAGAAGAGCTCTGTGTAAGCTCAAAAGTTTGTCTCTCTCACCGACAGAAGCTGGTCCAATAAAAGATACCTCACCCACCTTCTCTATATATATCCTGGGGCTGACACTGTTACAACACCACTGCCTACACAGATTTCCCCTAATTCTCACGTTACATGTCTTTCCCCCCAGATGCCACAATGGGGCAAAGGAGTGAGAGGGGCAGGAGGGATTTCCTATTTGTTTTCACTCCTTCCTCACTACATACCTGTGGAGCACCATACATGTACAGCACGAGTGCTTCGTGTTTAGGAATAACACACCAAGCTTTCTGCCAAGGCTTTGATTTTTCCATATATTGAAGAAAACTACATATGACACTGTTTCCAGAGACTTCAGCTGATTCAATCTGTGGGGAGACAGTACAAAGTGTCAGAAGGAAAATATTTTCCTTAAGAAAAACTCAAGTTTTCATGATGTTGACAAGAATGCATGGAACAGAACAATTAAATACGACACCATTTATAATAATTTGTGGAAGTTTCTCAGAGATGTTCTAAAGTGCTAATGAAGAGCCAAATCTTGGCGAACTTCTGCTGAAGATCATGGGAGTTTGCCTGATTAAAAACTGAATAAGGGCCTCAGGATTGGGTATATGAAAAATAAAAATGTATCTAGATATATATTCAACCTCCCTCACCTTAAATATGCCCAATCTGCCTTGCTCCTCCAGAATTCTCACCTTAAATATGCCCAATCTGCCTTGCTCCTCCAGAATTCTCACCTTAAATATGCCCAATCTGCCTTGCTCCTCCAGAATTTTTAAAGTGCAGGTGGCAGAATCACCCTTAACTCTTCATCTACCTCTACCAATGGATAGTTGCCAGATACTTTAATATCTGAAACAATCTCTCTGATTTCTAGCATGTCTACCATGAAGGCGTCCAAATGTTACCAGCAACCCATCACAATTACACTCCTCTTTTGGCATTCAACATTTTATAAAAGCATCCAACAGAAATGTATTTTCAAGGATCATATTGGAATGCAACCATTAACCCTAGGTAAACCCAAGAGAAATAATTAAATACATTAATGGAAGAATATTGATAGAGTGACCTATTACTTGGACTCAGTCATCTTGGGAATCTGTAGAGAGAACATACAGGATTGTGTAGTGTTAAGATTTTACTGGCATGAATTTGGGATAAGTGCATTTCTCAGAAATGGCAAGAATTTAATAAAAACGGACTTGGACAATAATGTATATAAATTGGTGCCTATCCTCTTTATACCCTGCCTTCAGCAAACACACATTTCTAGACCTGATGGTTGATGAGATATTGACCTTATCCTGCACCTCAGACACAGAATTTTGAGGAGATGTTCACATTTTAGGAGGAGGAAGGAAAGAAACATTTTGAAGCTACTTGATTTGCAGTGTTTTAATATTGGATTAGTGAACAGACTGCAGTTATGCTGGGCAACTTCTCACAGTTACCACGTGTACTTGTATGTTACAATGCATGTGTTATATATTTCTTCTTCCCCATCAATTTTTCAGTCAATCAGTCTTAGGTCAATTTCTCTTGATGTTCACCCCAATAGAAATCTCTTTCAAAATGATATGTTTTTGCTAATATTGAGAGGTTTACTGAGTAAATCAGAGTGCTGCTACATATATTGATCAAAACAAAATCTTGTTTTGGGCATTTTGAATATCATCAGAAATATCTGCAATTCTCTCCATTCTGGCCACAAATGTCAAAGATATAGCATATTTTGGGGGTTTTTTTGAACTAGCATACTGAAGAGATATATGGTGAAGTCCAGTTTAAAAAAAAAATCAACTTTGAGAATGCATATTCAATCTGATTGGCTCAGAGATAAAGAGTAACTTTCACGGAGTTCCATTGCAGCCAGCTATGATGATTTACCTAATTGGCATATGCAATCTGATTGGGTGGCCTTGCTACAAACTTCAATATTGTTTATTTCTGAAGTGGTAAAAAAAAAAACAGAATTTTCACTGGCTCACAGGACTTTTCAGCCAGTGATGAGCCAAGAGATTCTTACTGTATGTAGCAATACATGCCCATGCAGGAATTTTACAGATTCAAGTATTTCATTCTTTAAACATCATACCTCCAAGATGCCTTTCTTTTTCTTTTCTTCACTGTCTGTGCAACCCATTATAATGTGATAGCAGTCCTTACAAACTTTGTTCAATTTATTGCCATCATATTCAAGATGAGCTTTATAATCAGAACATTTCCAGCAAACCACCTTAGGAAAAAGAAATAAAAGATTAAGCAAGCAAAATTACCATCAAAATCAAGTGATGAATTTAAAAACTACTAAAATGTAGATCAAGTGAGGTGTAAATGCTGTGTTCTGACACTGGCAGTGCTATCTATCATACCAATTGTAATATAAAAGAAACTTAATCTTTAACTATATTTCACTATTTCTTGAATAAGTGAGTGCTTTTTACCTTTCAAATTGCTGGACTGAATAAAATGAGTACTAGGATTCTTTCAACTGTTCTACGATTTAGGTCCTGATTCAGGAAATCCCCCACATTCGGGATAGTTGCTTACACAATAAGCTTAACCTTAAGCACATGTTCAAATCTCACTGAGGTCAAACAGAGCTTTCAAATTTATCTTACATTCAAGTTGTCCTTAATATTGACGTGAAGATATAAATTCTCAGTTTATTCTCGTGGTCCTTTTTCCGCAAGAAACACTCAAGAGGTATGCTTACTATTTCATTCTCTATACCAGTGGTTCTCAACCCATTTACCAGTGTGGGTTGCATATGCAGCTCTCTCTGTTGCATGGGCCACATCCACACAATATATACACTACCTGTATTGCCCTGAGGATGTCACATGCATGGGCCGCAGCAGTGTGCTGATTTGGCTGCGGGTTGAGAACCACTGCTCTATAGACTCCAATACATACAAAATGATACTGTGTTTTTTTGTAAAAGAAATTGTTGCTTGTGTCAGAAAAACATCTTTTAACTTTGTTACGAAATCTAAGTGTACAGCTTCATAGTTTGTTATAAAACAACAACGGCAAACACACACCAAGGGAGGAACTGAAACAGTTCCATGTTGTATCCCGACAGTGAACTTTTTTCTTTTAAATAGACTAAAACAAGAAAGCTAGACTCCTAAAAGGTGTAGGAGGAAGGTCTTTTATTGTAAATATTTTCCAGCAGCAAATACTCCTTCCTCTGAGGAGAAAAAGAAGCCCAGCATGAAAAATGGAAGAGAGTGAAAAGGAAGAGAGTCAAAATAACTTTTTTAGATGGCTGTGGTAGTAGCTAACTGGAATAGTATATACGCGGTATTATGTACTCTGCACTCTAATACACCACCAAAACAAATGTTTTTTGTTGAGCCCAACCCAATCTGGATCAGAAGGTCTTCAACCAAAACCTCTAATGAAAATTAAGTGAGAAGTATTAACTATCATTTCTAGAAAAGACTTCTGGCATCAACCCAAATTAGCCTTTAAAAATATATTTATATCTCCATGAAACAACATTTTAAAATGAAATGGAATGACATGCATTAGAGATAATACAAAAAGAAGTCAATTCAGAATTTCCTGAATCGTCAACCATGCAGAAGGAAAAGGAATTATCACATTTAACTGGGCACCTCTAAGCTGGAGGAAGCAATCCAAAAACTACTAAAAGAGTTAATGCTAATCAAAAGAGCTAATGACAATGCCTGAAGCATAGTGCAAAGCACAAAAGTAAAGCTATGAATGCAGTAAAGGCATGTAAATGTACATCAAGCAAAATCACGCAGGCTAAGATTAAAAACGGGTTGGCACCATCACTTACTGGAGAAAGAAATAACTTACTGGGAGATGAGGGAAGAAGCACGGTAGTTTTGCTCTATTTATAGTGCATCCCAAGGTGAGTGAATAGGTCATAGTTGATATAGTCTGGACTGATATTTCTGGCATTTTGCATATCTTACACATTTAGATACCTAGCTCTGCTAAGAACAATTTACAATACATTTTGCCCATCTTTTGCTCCTTTTTTAGCTCACCTAATCGAGCTGCTTCTTACAAACCACAAAGGTCACAGCTGAAGTCTCTGCTGCAGTAACATGAACAACAACCAGCCACCAGATGGGGACTCTGAACAACTGTTTAGATCTGTTCTAGCATCTGGTCACCCAGCTAGCAGATGTGGCTTTCCACTTACATGTCCACATGCTCGACAATGATGCCTTCTCCTTGTCAGTGCATTGAAGGGCTCCTTACATTTCATGCACATTGTTACTTCATTGTCTCGGATCCATCTTGGTGCTCTCTTCCCAAGCTCAGCCTTCTGAAGAGGGAAAAGAAGGACAATTGTGCAATATTTTTAGTAGAGAAAATAATTATTCTCTTCCTCTGGAAAGGAAATGGCAAAGCACAGCTCAAGCTATGTTTTGAAATCTATGCGAGAGATAGCTAACAAAGAATCCAGTCAAAGATTGTAACACATTGCTGAAAGGACACTCCATCATTCATTTTAGAAAGAACAGGATTGTTTATAAGGCATGGTCTGGCTCATAAAGGGAAATGGTTGACCAGCAAAATGATTACTTTGTAATTCCATTTCTACAAGAATCCTAAGCCTGAATATGCAGCTTCTGACACCCTTCAGCAATATGGCATTTGTAACTGGAAAAGGACAAAAAGGGCACCAGTTGTACAAAGCTACAGTAACCCAACTTACAGAAACTTCAATGGGCATGTCCTCATATTCTTTTGCAATGGCATTTCTGAAGGTTTCATTCCTCTGCTGAAAAGCTTCTATGGTATTCTGAAGAGCCTGTTATAAATACAATGGATAAAGGTCGCAAACATACAATATTTAATAGACTCTTTGAATTTAAACTATTTAATGACCAACAACAAAACTACCAGAAATGTGAATTAATTATGATCAGCATTTGATTACATCAGAAGTTAATATTTCAACTTAAATACCACAGGCACAGCCCAAAAATATTTTTTTTTAAGTAAGTCAAAATGTAGATGTGTTTACCTTTATCCATTCTTCCTTATCTTGTTCAGAACTAAAACAAACATTGACATATTAGTATAAAACTAGCTTAGGAAACACTAGCTCATGGTAGTTGGTGAATGAAGCTGTAACTTACAAAAGAAGCAGAGACTTTGAAATGATTCCAACATTTATAAAAACAGTAGTGCTCCTGAAACTACCTAGTTAAAAATGAATCAGAATCATGGTTTGAAGCTTGGTAAATTTAATAGACTAGAATTAAGTTCTACTCGAAAGATCATCTTAAATGCACTCTTTAAACATACATAATAATGGCATTTCCAGCATTAAGCTTTCTTAAAGCACAATGTAGAAAAGAAACAGCACACAAATTTCAGTGTAAATTTAAGATAGCTGTAAATGAACCAAAATGGGAGAAACTGCATCAGTATATCAACTTTTCCCTGCAGCACTCTTCCTCAAATTAAAGTTAAAGTAAACGAAAGCAGAAATAAAAGGAGTTGACATAATAGGGTGATATTATCTAACAGAAATAAAGGAAAGTTTTGTTTTAATATTATAAACCAAGCATTCATATGTTTCCTTTAATTCACTGGGGTGGAAGGTCTATAGAGGATGAAGAGCTAAGCATTTTCCACCCAGTGTCTTGTACATTAATTGTTTTCAAAGCATCTCAGTAAGGCTTCTAAATTCAAATCCTATGAAAATATGCCTTGTACCCCAAGAAAAGCACTACTGTAATCTAGTGATGGAGTTAATACAAATCCAATTTCCCATGAATTTTGAATCAGGAAAAAAAGAAGACTTGAAAGAGTGTAACCCACACACCTTCTGGGTGTGGTGTTCTGTCCCATCCAATGGCACCAAGACCACATAAAGAGAGAGATAAAATGAGTCTGCTCTACAGCCTTAGCTAACAGCCAGTTGGATTTTAGCTTATACGGTAGAGCCTCATGCACTAAGTTCCAGAGGTCCCAAGTTCGATCCTGCCCACCGACCACTGGGGTCCGTTGGTGTTACAATAGCACCACAGTATTTTTTGTTCTGCTACTCATTTAATACTTCCTCCACTCACTTTGGTGAAGTAAGGTGCATACAAAGAATTCTCTCTCTCTCACGCCCCTCCCTCCCCCCCACCATTTTGATTTTTCCTACTGCTGGATGGGATGTGCAGGTGAGATCACATACCCATCTATGGTGGGAATGCCTCCAGTGAAACTTATATATTTTGTAATATTATTGCAAATAGCAATAAAACTAGAATCCTAAAATAGAAGGACAGAGTCCTGTTCCTCATCCTTTACCATTTGTAAATATTGGAAAAATGAATCTTCTAACTAAACAAAATAATTCTCCCTAATCCAACAACTTTTAAAAGTAGTATGTAATCCCCATATCAGAGAAGCAATCACTCCATGTAGGAAGTGATCTTCTATTTAAAAAAAGTGACTGAAACACTAAAATGCACTCAAGCAGTAATCTGAAAATAAATATATAAAATTATCTGGAAAAGGGAATTCCTGGGGCAAACATTTCATCAGAGCTACGACAAATTTATAGGATGAGATTTATGCATAGGATACATTAAGAATAAAGTATGCATCAACTAAGATTATTTTAGTCTCACTGATCTACTTTTAGGATGGCATTTTTGTACATGTTACTTCACAATTTTGAATGATCTTTATGAAATACATCCTAAAATGTTCTCAAAAACTAGACAAGCTTTCCCCCTAAACTAAATAACTTTAGTGCTAATGAAAGTACTAATAATCCTGGAAGTTGAACAAAATAAAAATAGTTTATAACTGCATTTTGTTCACAGATACAAAATGCTTTTCACATGTGAAATGCATCTGTCTCCAGGTGGAATACAGTGGACATGTTGTATGGTGTTACTTCTGCCACCACACAACAATTTCTGACCAGTATGATATGTAATAAAAAATAATCTATTATTGAATCAAAACATTAAAGACAAATTTACCTTTATGGAAGAGTCCTAATACAATTTAATACAAATAACTTTTCTATGGGTTTTGAATCATCCTATATAATTGACAATTGTATCCCTGCGATCAAATTATATTGGATAGTTAAAAATCTGTATCAAGATTATAATTTTCAATTACATTTTAAAGCTTTTAAAGGTAATTTCTATAGATCTGTTACATTTTAGAGAGAGCATTATTATAATTCTTATTAAATTATAGAGGATTTTTCCATAAAGCTAAGTATGCAGATTACAATGAAGCCTTTGTTTATTCACAGAACATATACAATGTGCACAAAAAAGACCACAAGAACTTTTCTACAGTGCTTGACAGTATGCTTCTATCATGAACTGCAAACATCGCTGTTCAGGATGAAAGGTCACTTCTGCATGCCTGTTTAATCCTTGGTCTTTCTGCAGAGGCTGTCAATAAGGGCTAAATGGGGCAGTGATTTCTGAAAAGAGGAAACTTATCCACTAAAACAGAACTAGGGCACCAATTCATTCAAAAAGGCCAAACAACAGTGAGGACAATTTCGAAGTCCACCAAGCTGGAGCCATTTTTAAACTAATGATTTAGAAATAAAAGGCTCCATATCACCTTACCAGTTCTCCAAATCAACCAGTCCCACAATTCTCCTCTATTCTGATATATTTTTAATGTTTCAAAAGTAAGCCACATGTCTCTTACCTGGCCTGCAACTCCAATGTTCGCTCTTTTCCAGACACCTGGAAGGTGCATGGATATTCTTCATTGTGTGTTTCTATAATCTTCATACCATCAATACCAACTCTTGTTCGCACTGAGTACTTTGATCCCACCAAACTGAATTTGGGTACACAATACAGCAACATGTTGTTGAACTATTAAAAAAAGAAAAGAAAAAGGACACATCGATAACAAAGAAAGTCAAGTACAATATATTAAGAGATGAATCGCACTATCACCTTACAAAAACAACTTGAGGGAGACTGTGGTTAGGCTTGTTAATGTCAGACAAAATCAAAATGGAAAGAACTGATAATATGGATAGGATTTAGAAATAAAATTAAAAGCCAACTATTGATACATTTAAAAGCCAGCTACTGCATATGTGCAGTAATTTTCATAATGTTTATAATCAAATACACTGAGTGGATATGATGTTTAGCAACACTGTAAGCCTTTTGTTGAGAATTTTCCATGCTGATTTCAATATAACTGGGTAAATGAACAACTGGGTAAATAGATTTTTCTTAAAATCTTTATACTAGAAGAGCAGCAAATTGACTCTGAAGGAATTTCCCGTCTATTAGGTCAACTCATATAATGGTAGATTTCTGTCTTTTCTTCACAGTACTTTTTTTTTTTTTAAATCAAAGTTATGGTGAGACTACGTAAACCCAAAAAAGGAAGGGAAAAATTATATGAGGCTAAGGTGGACATACTGATGACACTGATCTTTTTTGTAAAATGCTTTGATTTCTACTGAAGAAAAGCACTATACAAGAGCTAGGTATTATTAGTATCATTTATTATTTGTAGCTTTTAAATAATCATTTTTAACAGCCTAGAATTTCAGCTCAGGGAGGCATCCACTACTATGAGTTTGTGTTTTTGAAGATTTAAATCAGATCTATAATGGTTAACAGTTTTTTCTTATGAATTATTAAAACCAGAAACTCACATTTTAAAATTATATTTCATAGAAGCGTAGTCTACCCCATTAAGATGATTTACGGCTTTTAATATTTCTTAGAGCTTCAGAAGTCCTGTTGACTAGGGGCTTGCTTATCTCTGGAGCACACTTGAAAGCCACTCTCAAGAAAAGAATCATTCTGGATTACCTACAATGGCTGGTGAAGGATTCTATCTGATTCGTTTGATGGTCTAAGCCACATTCACGTCAGCTGAAGTCTGTATCACAGATATGGCACATCTGAACTTTTTATGTCCCTCATTTTAATATCATGTCTAGCCGCGTTCAGAGACTTTTACTAATAATTTATTCCTCTGCTAGAAACATGGGAGAGCAGAAATCTGCCCCTCAGAAAATACACACTTCACTATCCAGAGAGCATGAAGCAGCCAGTGGCCCATATAGCAAATGGCACAAATCAGGGCTTGAATTTGCCATTTTAATATATTGGAAGCAGTGAGTTATATCAAACATTCCACAAGGGAATTAAAGAAGAATCATTGATGGAGTCCAGCAGTGCTAAAATAAAGACAGAACTGAGTCTGTGAACCAAGGAAATGTGATGAGGTAAAGCAACGAGAGCATTTGAAAAGAGGGTATGAACTTTCCAGGGGTACTAGGTTCCTACAAGGCCATGTGACTCATTTGGTCACATCACACTCAAGGATTTTGAAGGACATCTAATAATTACTATATCAGTAACACCACATGCATGTTCAATCCAACTACTTGATTAGCTAAATAATCTACTGCTATAAAATACTATTCTAATATAGTCTAATAATATCTAATAGAATAGAATCTTAAATATTTTTATTTAAAAAATGTACGCACCCCAAATACAGTAGTAGATTCTATCAATATAAATGAATAGCCTCCATGATAGCTGTAGCAACTAAGAAAGACTAATAGTGCATTTACTCTGAGATATGTTACTGGACCTTGGTTTAATTCTGTTTGAAACACACTATTTTCTAAATGAGTTTTGTCATTTTCCAGAAAGCATTGTGGGTAAAATCTTGGCTCCAGGTGAAGTTAATGGCAAAATTTCCCCATTGACTTAAATGGAGAGAAGACTTCACCCTTGCTTTCAGGCAGCTTCTTGGAATTTGAAAGGAGCCTAACATCACTCAGACAAACACAAGTTTTGATACTTACTAAGAAAAGATATCGTTCTTGAGCTGATGTATTACGAGCAGCAAGTTTAAGGATCTGTCCTTCTTTAATCAGCTCATTTGAGGGGTTGACAATATCTTCCTCTTCTCCCAACATCTCATACACCTCCAGCAACTTCTTTAGATTCTCCTTTTCAATTAAAATAAAATTACATTTGTGAATAAGTGATTTTGCCAGTGTAAAACGATTTACCTGACGCTTATTTAAGAGTCTGAAAAATGCTAGTTTAAAAGAATATATATGAGCCGTTCATATAGGTTGCCAGAACCAGCTTATATTTGGGCATAAGCTGTTTCTAGAAATCTAATTTATCTAACCAGTATTTTTAAGTGTACTTATATAGTGCTATTTCATGTCCAAAATATTTTACAAATATTTAACAGTTCATGTACCACAACATCCCTGTGAGGGAGATAAATATTCTCTCCATTTTACAGGTGCAGAAACAAGCACAGAAAAGTTGAGTGAGCAGTATAACCTCTTACTGGCAGCCAGGAATAATACACAGAAAAGAACGGCTACTTACCTTCTGTAACTGTTGTTCTTCGAGATGTGTTGTTCACGTCCATTACACATTAGGTGTACGCGCGCTGC